CTTACACATGCAACACTGATTCACCACAACCTGTCTCTTTCTGAGGTTGTCTTGAGTCAAAATCCTCCCAAGAGAAGCTGACCATGCAAAGAAAGCCACCTTTAGTGGGGCTTTTGATCTCCAAGTAGCCTTCCAAGGAAAAGAAGGAATTGGAACCGCAAATGAACTCTCATAAAAAGATCGCATACCAAAATGTCCTTCGTAGAGTGCTTCCAGATCATCTCATCCGTTCCCTCCACCTTCTGACTTTAAAGGAGCGCTAAGAACTGTGCTATCTCCATAAGCTCCCAATCATGAAACTCTTTCTGAAATTGCATGTCCCAGGTTATCCTATCGCTATCAAGACATTATCACTTGGGTACCAAGGCATGCCTGTTAGTAGTAATCCTGAAAAGCCGTGGGAACTGATGGGCAGAACAGAATCTCTGCACCAGTGATCCTTTCAATATCCAACACACCTGCCACTCCCAACCCTGAAGCGGATGCGTTTGGAGAACTCATCCCATCCCTTCTGAATGCGCTTCCATGCCCCCACCCCAGCGGAAAGCCTCACCTTCCCCAGAGGTCCAACCACCAACACCCTCCCCAGTCTAGCTATCAATGACTCTCCTCCACAATCTGGATCTTTCACTCCCAAATCTCCAAAACTGCATTATCAAACAAACTTAATTGAATAAACACAATCCATTCAAAATTAAGTGCTGAAGTGGGTTAGCAAACTGCACTGAAGATGAACGAACACTCCTCTACCCGACCTATTCACTTAGCACCAAAACCAGAAATTTGCAACAACTTGAATAAGAATTCCCAAGAGAGAAAATCATAAGCATTCTTAAGGTCAATTTTCATTGCCAAGGCTGGATGCCTAGAGGACCTAAATCCATTTCATTTCACGAGTGACAATACTGTCTTATAATGTTCTTCCCTTAACAAAAGCTGGGTGCTCCTTTCTCATAAGATTACATAGCACAGATGGCAATCTATTGGCCAAGATCTTCGTGATAATTTTTTTAAGTAACTTAACATAAAGATATTGGTCTAAACTCTGAAACTTTAATGGAATTCACTTTCTTTGGTATTAAGGTAATGAAGGTACCATTGATACCTTTTGGAATTTTTGATTCCTTGGGATAAAAACTCCACTGCTGCACAAATCTGATAAAACAAAGCTGGAAAACCATTTGGACCTGGAGATTTATTTGGATGAAGATTTATGACTGACTTGATCTCATCAAAGGAAACATTAGCATCGAACGTCTCAACTTCTTGCTCTGAAACAGTTTATCTTGCCTGCTAAAGAACAAGTCAGTTAATCCAGAACTCTTCTTATTGAACAGATCCTTACAAAACTCAGCCGACCACTTCTTTACGACTCTGTGATCTGAAGTAGTTTTTCCTTGTTCATTCTCCAGAGTTGTTATTGCATTGTAGTTCCTATGCTGTGCCATCTATTGGTAGAGGAAAGTTGTACATCTGTCTTGGTCCTTTAACCACATTACTCAAGTTATGAGCAATCAAAATTTACTCATTCGACAAGGCTCTTTTCAAAGTCATTTTGCACCTGTTCTCCTCAGTTAGAGCTACATTGAAAGGATCTTGAAGAAACTGATCCTGAGCACAATTCAAATCTTCTCTATCTTTTTGCACTTGATCCCTGACGCTGGGAACATTCAACACCTTAACAGCTTCTTTAAGGTTTCTTAATTTCTTCTGGAGCTTATGTTAAGGAGTTCCTGATCTGCACCGTCCAAGTCTGACTGATGATAGGATGCAAACTCTCTTGTTTTTGGGGCTTTAGCAACTTCAGAGAAAGTACAAGTTACCATTCCGTAATTGTGTGATAATTTACAGTAGAAATAATAAACTTTGAGCTGTGGAAATTTCTCAACCAAATTGAGTTGAATATAACCATCTGGCATATATCCTCCTATTTATAGTAGAAATAAAAACTTGAGTTGGGGAAATTTCTCAACCTAATTGAGTTGACCATAACCCTATCCAGTCTGGCTGACCACACCGAGCTGTACAAAGCCAACTAAAGATTCCAACTAATCAAAATGCGACCCAAATGATGAGACTGATAATTCTTAACCCAATTCTACCTAGCTTGAATTTTCTTCGATATAGCAATAAACCTCTCAGCCTTCATTCTAGTTTCTAACAAACACAAAATGAATAGAAGTTTAAGATAACCTTCTTCTAACTTCCTTTTGCATTTGGGGCATATTCAAGCCCCTAATGCTCCAACATTCAATCCCCCCAGATTTGCTTCTAGTAACTCATTCAGTTACCCAGAAGTCTGCTTCTGTTTCTGAGATTTCTTACCTCCAAATCTCACGCTGACAGTAACAAAAGGCCCTTCCTTTCCCAGTGGGCTATTTCACTCATCTTCACATGTTTAGCTTTACTACGGCCTTTATTATGGAATGAGGGCTTCTAACATTAGGCATTACCAAGTCTTCTTGCATTTCTCAACTTTATTGTCTTCCCTCACTAAGTAATGTTCTATCATTTTAATTAGTCATAGCACTCCTAGGTTGTTTATTAACATGGTCCATTGCACTACCTTTAACAGCAGTATCAGTTGCAGGTTTATCTACTGTTTCCATATGACCCCCCAATATCAGTTTCTGGTTCATCAATAGACTAGACTACAACTACCTCCTCCACCAGAACTGATTTTTCCTTACTTTTGATAACCCATCCTATCTTCTGCTTCATTGTTTGATTCCTCTTTGGAAAGACTTTAACCAAATGATCAATCATATGACATTAGAGCACACATGGGGTTTCAGGTCATAATCAAAGCCTTACAAACCTCACTATGTACCATAAAATCCACCATCTCTGGAAGGTCATAATGAATGTCTACTTAAACCTTGACTCTTAACACGAGATCCTCTTTAATGATTCTGTGTTAAATCATCAAGAAAAATAGGATTTGAAAACTTGAAACTTATTTTTGGTATGGCCTTCATGTTTCTGCAATGAATAGGAAGACCATGGATACATATTCATATTGGCACTGAACCACAGACCTGCTTTTCCAGATTTACAGGTTATTCCATGGTTTGATAAAGGATTGCCCCTACCTTCATACATGTGAACTTCTCTTTTTTTTTTTTGATAAGTAAAGATTCATAGAAACGTGCGCTCAAATGGGGAGCATATCCCACAAAAGCTACACAAGGACCAAATCCTTTCCATCTCATCAGAAGAATCAAACTGAGTACAACCATGCAAAGCTACGTGTGAATTTGCCTTAAGGTTTCCATGTACATGGTAGAAATGCCTTGAAGAAAGGGGATTAAGGTTTCTACTCCAAAACATAACCTGCAATTGAGCATCTTCTTCTTTGATTGTAACAAATTAACAATAGAATGAGTCCTACACTCTTGATAAAATTATAGGTTAGCAAAGGAGTCTATAGTACCAACTTGCCCACAGATTAAAACTCCAACAAATAGGCTACTTCAATATTCTCCTTACAAGCGTTGTTTCTATCTACTATTATCTAAAAATTATCAAGTTGGCTAGGTGGGATAGCCAAGCCATTCCCCTTTCAAAATCTAGATATGTTTCTTGAGAATTTTTAAATTAAGTATATGAAATTAATGACAGGGTTTTACCTTACAGTTCTAAATTGATTCTTAGGAATATCTGATCCAAATAAAGTTGATAGTTGTACGTTAAGTTGGTCCAAAGACGCATCAGATGTAATATTTTTTCCTGAAATTTAACAGTAGGCAACAGGAATTGTTTTTGAAAGTTCAACGCTTAACAAATAAGAATGAAATACGGCAGAATGATTCTCACGTTCCTCTTATGTGTCATCATTTTAGTCATGCCTGTTTTGTAAGGACTCACCATGAAATCTGCGTAAGAGCAGTGTAAATACTCTTTCATTTCTTTGGTCCTACAGCTTCTCTCTCTTCCCCATCTCTTTTCCCCTTCTCTATAAAATCATTTTTTTACCATGTGAAAAGATGTTCTGTTGACATGACTGAATCAGGAATGGCCAGCAGCCTCGTTTGTAATTGCTGCATAATTGTAGCCATCTACTTGTGGCTGTGTGTGTATATGTATAATAGAATGGTTATTTCAGTGCAGACATATGAGGGTCTAACATATCTGAGATTCCATTCTGATGAGTGTCATTTTTTTTTTTCCCAAAATAAATTTTCTTTCATCATCTGTTTTTTCCTTGCAAATTATTTCTTTGTAGAAGTATATCCATTCTAAAATGAAATCTCTTTCTGCAAGAATTATGTCTCTTTTTAACGGCCAATTTAGAAGTTCTGGAACAACTATATTGTGCCCCCTCGTGTTCCTAAAATCCAGCCACGAAGGCTTCCATATTGCAGCCATATTAACATGCAGGTTTCCAGCTCATTATTGGTACTTTACCTTATTCAATATAGAGCATGTGCCTAGCTGTAACCAAAAAAAAAAAAAAAAATAGAGTGTGAGTTTTGCTAAAGGTTCTGGATAACGAGACAAATATTGTGCTTCAGATTCAAGTTTAGTAAATAGTCTTGTGAAGGCCTAATCCTCAAACCTGCAAGCTTTTAAGTTTACAGAAGAACTATTGTTTTACTACGCAACAACAAAGATAGAAAATATTTGCAAATTCCTTACCAAACATAAGATAAAATGTTGAATATTACTTCTAGTAAAATATGTGCACGTCATTACTCATATGCCTTGTACAATAGAGTTTATGTAGATCGCTCAACATGTGCGATACTGGGGGGCTAGAGTGGAACCCTTGACTTGTGGATTTTGTACATCTGAATCTGATGTTTCTTTCGCCTGATTTCCTTTACCCTCCCTCGCAATTATGCATTCTTTACCCCATTAGTTTGTATCAAATAGCAACCGTAATGCGGACATGACGTTGCTTCTTTTTTCCTGAATAGATGCCATTGCTTTAGTTTTCGCTAAACTAGTAAAATATTGGTATCTAGCACGTACATATTAATTCATTTCAATTATGACAGGGGAATGAGCTTCACAGTGAGGGAAGGTTCAAAGATGCCTTGCAGAAATATTTGCTTGTAAGTCCTCAATTGTGTTCGTTTCTATTTTCATGTTGCATATGTTAGTTTCATGGTAAATAAAAACTTTCAACTTCTCAATGTATGAATTTTGTTTCTTTCTTTTCTTTAAAACATCATTAGGCAAAGAAAAACCTGAAAGGAATTCCAGCCTCCAAAGGTAAAACCATCCTGTTGGCATGCTCTCTTAACTTGATGTCGTGTTACTTGAAGACAAGGCAGTACGATGAGTGCATACAAGAAGGCACTGAGGTATGGTCAAGTCGTTATTTCTTCTAGTGTCATTACGTGTGAATGTCGAATCATGATTGATCAACTTGATTATTTTAAAGTTAAGACTTGCAGCATAGCATTGAACTAGTGGTGAATATTGTCTTTGGAAGAGAAGAAGGGAACATGAGCTATTATTTATTTATCTTTCATTATTCACTTTCTGTGAAAATGTTAGATGAGATGCTTGAATGTGAGATGCATGGCATTTATGAAGATGACTGCAGCCCATTTTCGTTCTCTTTGAAGAATAATTAAGGATTTTTTTTACTTCAGGTTTTGGTATCTGATGCAAAGAATGTCAAAGCTCTTTACCGGAGAGGTCAAGCATATAAAGAATTAGGACTCTTGAAAGTGAGTGTTTAGATATGATTTGCTACAATGGTTGCCAAATTGTGCTTGTTTAAGTTACTAAACCTGTTCACTTGTCTGCATATCTGCACGTATATCTGATGAACTTTCTGAAAATATGGTAGGCTGCTGTCTGTGACTTGAGTAAAGCACATGAAGTATCCCCTGATGATGACACTATCGCAGATGTATTAAGGTATGGACTTTTTCAGTTGAATGCAGCTGAGGTTATTTCCATGTCATGCATATGTTACGTGTATGAATCTTAGGCCGTTTGTTTCATGAGCCATTTACTAAAACTTTTTTTGGTCGATGTATCTGACAATCCATTGCAGACTTTTATCCCAAATTGTTTGACTTGTTAAAGTTAGCCTTTACCTCCTTGGGCTAAATAAGTAAATAGTATATTTTTTAGTGTGAGCTTTTCATCCCTGCCATTTATCTCTAGTTCTGAAAGTAGATCATCCTTATACTTCTTGTGGATCATAATTTGTATTTATTTTTGTGGCCTATCTGATTAGTGCTCCGACAATCAGGAAATCAGTTGACTTTCGGCATATTTCTTGAACTCCCCTTTTATGCAGTCTGCCATTATGACTCCAATCTTTCCTTTGTTTGGTACATTTTTGAAATGCCAACTGTGGCTTAAGGAAAAATAAATTAAAAATGAAAAAAACTATGTCCGTTTGGCATATTGTGATTATGGTTGTTATTAATATAGGGATGCTGAGGAAAGATTAATGAAAGAAAGTGGTGAGCATGGACCAAGAAGTATGTTGTTTTTACTCATTCAAGTTTACGCTGAACATCATAAATTTAGACATGTTTATTTTCTCATAGTTATTATGGACTTGTTTATTTCTTGTTTAATAGGATTGATTATTGAAGAAATAACTGAAGAAGCACAGACCGTTCCATCAGGAAACTGTAAAAGTTCATCTACAGAATATTCTGTGTCAGAACCACAAGAAACCAGTGGCTTCCCTAAGAGTCAAACTGAGATTGACAGTAAGACTCCAGCAACCAATTCAGAGTGTTTGCAGGCTTTGAAAGATGATCCAGAAACTATCAGGTTTATTTCAACGATTAAAGAATTATAAGTGGCACACTATAGTGGTCTTTCTTTCTCTTGTGTCTGGGTAGCAAATTTCTTCACACACTGTTAAAATTATCATTTCTCCTTCTCTTCTATCACAATGACTTGGTCACATGGACTGGATATGTCTTATATCTATTTTCCTACTATTGTTACTCTTGTAGGTTGTGTTTTTATTACCAACTACCATTATTGCATTGGCTGTTCTTTTTGAAGGCATGCATAGGCACGAGTGTTAGCAACAAAAAAGTACAAATATACATATATATAGATATAAGATTTTTAGGCACAGAGAAGTATTCTCTGAATATTCAGGAAATATAAAAAGTATTCTCTGAAAATGCCAACTTACTAAATTCAAGGCAAGAGTGCATGACCATACATATTTTAAATATTTGTATGTCCTAGTTTAACTTTGTATATTTGTGATCAATAATGCTAAATGATGGAGAGACAGATAACAACATAACTAGTAGAATAGGTGTGGATGGATAAAATGGAGGCAAGCTAGTGGGATATTATGTGACAAAAAAAAATTGCACATAAGCTAAAAGGAAAACTGTGATTTGACCAACTATGTTGAATGGAGCAAAATGTTGGGCAATAAAAAAGAAACAAGAACAATGCCTTCATTTAGCGGAAATGAGAATGTTAAGATACATGAGCTGTGACTAGAAGAGATAGGGTCACTAATGAAAATGTGAGAGGAAAATTACGTGTAACACCCAATGGTGAGAAAAATAGAGAGAGTAACTTAGATGGTTTGGACACATACATCGGAGACCTAGAGATGCGCCGGTCAAACGAGGAAGACTAGTTGTTATAGAAAGTAAGAGATGGAGAGGACGGCCAAAAATAACATGGGATGAAGTTATTAAAAATGACTTCAAAAAGTTGAATATAGGTGAAATGGCATGTAATAGAAAAGATTGTGGAGAGAGAATTCATGTGGCTGACACCATTCATATTGGTTTAAGGCAAGGATGACGACGACGACGACCTGGTAATGTCCATCCAATCATCTCATTGACATCTGGTAACCTCCATGTTCACCTTTTATAGAAAGGGGCTCACCCTTGTCCCATTTCAAGCATCACAAACAAGTATATGCAGTAATCACAACAACAAAGACTACCCTATTTTAACTAAAATGATAGAGGGAATTCGGTCCTTGGTATTCCTTGGTTTTTTTTTTTTTTTTTTTTCCTAGTTGGGACTCACACACACTGCCTCCACTGAGGTTCAAACCCCTGACCTCCCTTTGGGAAGTAGGAGCCTAGTACCGCTAGGCCACAGGCCTGTTGGTTAGTACAAATCATTTTCACCTCTATCATCTTACGTGTAATACCTCTATCACTCACAATTTCAAGTTTAAATGAAAAATTATAGAATCTAGTAACTGATGTATACTAACTGGCTGATGGAATTATTATTTTAATGTGGTGATTGCGAACATTTTTAATTCATATATATATATATATATATATATATATATATTTACAGCAGTTGCAAGGTAGGCTCTATATATATATGTGTGTGTGTATATTTAGCAATTGGAAATAGGGAATTTCTATGAAAATGCACTAAAATAATAAAATACTTAGGTTCTGTGTTTGTGTCCGCGTGTGCGGATCACATACTTCCACACATCATACATGCACAAGCACCACTCAAGAGTAGGAGCACCTATCAGTGAAGTAGTACCTGTGTGATAAGAGGGTGTTGAAATGCAGATTTGGAGAATAACCGAACCTAGATATTATGTAGTCAATAATTCAAAAAATTTGCAGAATATTTTGATCGTAATTTATCAAAATTGAAAGAGGAATTGTTATATTTTCACCATCGTATTGGGTGGATTATTAAGTCCATCTTATCACCATGGATCAAAGAATGCATCCTACCACCCCTGGTGCCACACTAGGGTAACTAAGTGGGTGACCCCAATTTACCCTATACCTGGCGAGGGACTGCAGTGATTTTTGTGAGATCTATGTATCGTGATTCAAACTTCGTTGTCCTGACATCATGAAATATGTTAATTTTATTGATAGTATTTCTAGTATTATCTTTCTATTGTTTGTCTTTGCTTTCTGTTCAAAGATCCAGTTATTGGAGTATAAAATAATGCAATCGGTACTGATTCTCTCTCTCTCTCTCTCATAGATCCTTCCAGAACTTCATTTCCCATGCTGATCCGGAAACTCTTGCTGCTCTGAGTTGTGGAAAGGCTGAAGGGCTAACTCCTGATATGTTTAAGACTGCCTCAAATATGATCAGCAAGTTGTCTCCTGAAGAACTTCAAAGAATGCTCCAATCGGCTTCCTCCTTCCAGGGGGAAAGTTTAAATTTTAATAGAGGCGCTTTAGACTCTAATTCTAACAGCTTTGGTCCCGGATCAGTTCCGCCAAATATGACTCCTGAGATGCTCAAAATGGCTTCTGATATGATGAGTAATATGCCTGCAGAGGAGCTTCAGAAAATACTTGAGATGGCACCGTCTTTAACAGGGAAAGATTCGGTCCCACCAGCAGCATCATTACATTCTAATGGATTAAGTTCAGATACAGGTTCAAGGCCTCCTGTAGCTCGGGGAAGTTTCACATTTAAAGGTGACCATGTTGGTGAAAGTAGTTCTTCAAGTCAGTTTTTAAATTCAAGAAGTGGACCTTTTCAATCTTGCTCTCCAAACTCAACTTCTGATCTGCAAGAACAAATGAAAAACCAAATGAAAGATCCAGCTATGCGGCAGGTATTTGTTTTGGATTCCTTTACATGAACATGCACTTATTTATGTATGTAGTAGCGTCAATTCATGTTAAGGGGTCACGTACAGCTTTGAGATAAGTACATTCAAGTATTCAACTGTAGCAGAACATGACCTGCATTGTAATTTTTTAAATATTTTTTCTTGGTTAATAAAATGCAAATATCAAGCATGACATATTATGGTAAATGGTAAATTATGTAGATGGATTTAACATTTATCAGAATTAACATATTATTTCCTATAATTTAAACATTGTTTTAAAAAAAGGGCAAGCCCAGGGCACGAGGCTCCTGCCATTGCTGGGTCTGGGGAGGATTAGATGCATGCAGCCTTAATTCTGCATGCAGAGAAGTTGTTTCCTTATTTCGAACCTATGACCTCTAGGTCAGGATGGAGCAACCTTACTGTAATTAATTTAGGAAAAAACTATTGAACAAAATGACATATTATAGAGGTTTGAACAGGTCAGATGTGTTTTTGTCGATATGTACATTTGTGTAAACAAAGTCAATTGACCAGTTTAATTTATCTAGTTGTCACGATTAGGGCATGAACACAAAATTTGACCAGTTTAATTTATCGAGTTGTCACGATTAGGGCATGAACACAACTAAGGTCAACACGGTTTCATTTTTGTCTTGGATTTGAATTGTGTTGGGTGGGGTGGGGGGACGGTCAGCAAAGTCACTTGGTTGCATTTCCATCTATTTCGAATGGAATCATTTTTTTACCTGGTGCATTTGGTCGTTTCTGTTTTGTGTTATATATGATAAATTTAAGATTTCAAGAATTAATTGGTTCATACATTTTATTTTCTCCTTCACTGGTGATTCCATTGGCAACAACTCCATGTTTTGCTTGTAACGAATACCAGTCTAAAGGGTATGGTTTTGTGCCATTACTATGTAATTAAGTCTCCATGGAGGCCTAAACATTCTTTGGTACATAAATGTGCATATTTTATTATTTACTTATGTGGATTTTAATTTTCCGCAAATTGGCAGATGTTCACATCAATGGTTAAAAATATGAACCCAGACATGATGGCAAACATGAGTGAACAATTTGGTTTTAAGCTTTCTCGGGAAGATGCAGAAAAAGTTCAACAAGCCATGTCATCTTTGTCACCGGATGGCTTGGACACAATGGTACATTCTTGCCCAAATTACACTTCATGTGATTTGAAAAGCATATGTTAAATTCTATTTCTCACTACTATTTTCTTTAATCAAGGTTTGGAACAAGAGTTTGAAATACCTGATTTGTTATTAGTTTTCTTTTCAAAAGAGTGACCAATTTAGGCTTAGTTTTTCCCAATTCTCATGAGTTTGATTGATGCATCCATCTGTATGACGAGGCATTCAAATTGTTGGTTATCTAGGAATGTGAGTGCCATTTATTATGGAACAGATACATATTTTATTTTGAATCTCATTGAAAGATTGATCATTCTTGATTTTCTTTATATTTTACTATTAAAAATTATCTGTGATCTGTTGAAGGACATTTCACTATCTCTAGAAATTTGTTTTTGTACTGGAAATGTTGTCTAATTAAAGTTTTTTCATTCTCCTCTTTTGCCTATGGGTTTGGAATTCAAAATTACAAGTTATGTCCTTCTCGGAGCTCAAGGTATAATGGTGTCTTAGTTAATGAAAAACAAAGTAGCAGTAAACTCTTAAAAAAAGAGAGAAAAAATATGACATCTAAAATTTGAATTTTGCAAAGGAATCCAGTTGATCTCCCATTCTCTTTTAATCTGAGCTGTTGGACCTTGATAAAAAAAGTCACTAAAATCTCGTCACCTGAGGATCATATCTATTGCAAAAATATTTAATGTTAATGTGGATGAGTCTTGTGGACATGATTCACACAATCTCCCATTAGAGACACGGTGCACAGCCATGCTTGTGTTACATATTACTACCTGTTAGATGTTTAAAAAAGCGTTTTTTGTACATATTTCATGGTTTATACTCTCCTAGCGTTCCTGACCTTTTAGAAGGACTATCTTCTCTGTGGAACACTTAATTTATAGTAATACATAGTTTATACTCTTTCATTTTCCACTGACCTTTTGCGAGATTATTTTCTCTTGTTGAACACTTAATTCACAAGACCATTATCCACCTAGCATGGTGCTGGTATGGAACGATTGAAGATATGACATTATTTTGCACTATCTTCTCATGTTAGCCCGAGCTTTTACCATTGCACTAAGCAGTGGTCCCTACTTAATCCATAACGCTAAATATAGATATTATAATTTGAAAAATTCCAACAGCGCAAAAGAGAAATCTGAATGAGTTAGCCGACTACTTTGAAGGGAGTTTTTTGTGCATTTAAAATATTAGATGGACACCACTTGTGATATGAATTTGACCATTAGATTCGAAGAGCTTGCTTGGCTTGTATAGCATTATAATTATCAGTGAACCACCTTGAGTCTTGCGTAAGGGCTGTAGTTAAATAGCTCCTTATGAATATGATATCTACTGAGCCCAATGGTATAACCTCCCTAGCCTCATAGAGGAGGGAAGTGGTTCGAGCCCCGGTGTGTGCAGTGTGTCCACTAGGTTTTGAGGCCCTACAGCTGATGAATTTGGTCTTATACGTCAATCTCATGGTTGGTGATATCTGGTTGAGCTTATCGTGGTTGATTTTGTCCTTGATATCCATTATATGCCTGACTTTCATGTCCTCTATTTTCCCCCTCCTTTTGCTCATCTTTCCAGTAAATGTTGTTGCAGATGAGGTGGGCAGATAGGCTTCAACGTGGAGTTGAAGGTGCTAGGAAGACAAAAAATTGGCTACTAGGAAGACCCGGTATGATTTTGGCCGTATTTATGCTCATTTTAGCAGTCATACTTCACCGGCTGGGGTACATTGGCAGCTAGACTTGGAAGAATCTGTGTTAATCAATGGACAGGTCAATTTCAACCATCCGCTGATCAGCACAGCATTGCATAAACCATTTTGCCTCTTGTTGATATCAGAGTAGATGAGTGGAAGTGCAGATTGAAGGGTCCTTGATGGAATGGATGTTCATACAACCGATGAAAGATGAAATCCACAATTTATTTTGTATCTTAGTCACTCGTCATGAATTTTTTATTTGTTGGTACTTTCTGTGCTCCTTCAATAAAATTTAAGGAAATCTTGTTGGTGGGGGAGCCGTTTCTTTTTCCCTTTTTTTTTCTGTTCGGATTCGGATACATTCTGTAACAATGTATTCATGTAATGCTGTTAGACATTAAGGATCATGGACCTTCGATGAATGTCAAATGCTTTATAAAGTCTGCATCTGACTACAATCAGTTGTACGAAATTTCTTCTTCTTGTGATATAATGATAAAATTAGGAACGGAATAAAGCTATCGTATGGGTCCTGATTTCGTTGATGTCAACAACTTGCAACTTGCAACTTGCACGTTAACGCAACAAGTTTGTTGCTGCAATTGTTGTGTTGGTCTTTGCAGCGCGAATGGTTTTTACTGGTTGGCTCCATTATCAAATGACATTCCATGAAGAATCTACTTTTGATCTCTTTCTGTGCATATGTATCTTAGACTATTTACCAATTTCTAAACCCTAATGTAGATCCTGAAGTTTCAACGGATAAAAGGTCCGTTATAATTTTTAATTTACAAAATTTCATGATTTTTAATTGTTTCTTCTTCTTCTTCTTCTTCTTCTAAGTGGTGGTTATAATTCTTTGCCTAAATATTCTATTTGGGAATGATACACATTATTGCTGAAACATTTTGTTTTTCAGTATATGCTCAAGATTTGTAATTGTATCAAGCTATGGAGATACAGCTACAAAAAGGCAAATCAAACACTAACCTCACCATCCTTTCTTTTCTTTTCTTTCCAAATCATTCAATCCAAACAAAGCCTTAGGGTTTTGACAAAGAGATTGATGAATTAAATTATCCCAAGTTTTTTAAAAACAGTGAAATTATCCTAGGTTACTAAGGAGAGTTTTAAGAATTAATTTATCCAAGGTTTCTAAGAAATTTAGATTTAAAATAAACGTAATTTTAGGCTTTTATGAAATTAGTTTTCCCTGGGTTGTTAAGAAACATATACCTAAAATATATGTATTTTAGGGTTTTAAAAGAATTTTTGTAAGTTTAAACTCAACCTATTAATTTGATAAAACCTTATGAAAATAATATTGTTTAGAATAGTTTTGAAGGATTTTTAGAACCTAGGATTTTGGCCTAGTGGGGATCGCTTAATGGTATGTGTAGAGCAAGCATATCAGCTGCAGTGTATTGAAATTGGGGGCTTGTATCGGGGTTACTTAGCGACATGGATACTTGTAGTCGTGGATTTTTTTGAACTCACACATAAGACCCTAAATAAATCGATGCCCAATTTTTTACAACACAATTTAATAAAGATGATTTTTTAGTATATTTTAGTGAATTTAATAGATATCTCTCTCTTATACAAACTCTCTCTAGTTTTACCTTCTATTCCACAACATTGGTCCTACTTGCCCAAAGAGAGTGTCCGAGTAGTGTTAAAGTAGTGTTATTTAAAGATATATATATTTTTAATGTATTTTTTATTGAACACTCAAAACATAATTTACTGAAGATGGGTTTTTAGTATATTTTAGTGAATTTTATTAAGACTATCTAGCATAAGTAATGATTTATTTATAAATCGCAAGTCGTCGCCTTTATTTTAAAAAGTTTAGTAATTATACTTTTTTTTGTTAAATCAATGAATATTAATAGATTTAAGAATTAAATAATTAAACATTTATATATACTAGTCAATTACACATGCGAAATTATTGAACATTTATACATACTAATAAATTGCACATGCAATGCATGTGGTTAAAATTGACTTATACACACACATATATATATAGTGAATGTACACACACACACATATATATATATTGTAAGTATGAGGGGTACTTAACAACTTTCTAATTAGGAATTCATTTATTCCATTTAAATATTTTATTACGTTGAATTAAAATTCTATTGGTTTTAGAAACAGTGCATAACAAGGCATTGTGAGTACTTATTTAGATAAGTTGTGAAAAATAAGTTGGAAGTTTGATTGTAATATAACAAAAACAAATTAACCCCAATATGGGGTCACCCTTACATGCACTATAGCCAATCTTAACCAATGCCTAGACTCAGAAGTCAAATACCTACATGCCTCTGCAATTATACAAATAAAACATTTCAATTTTGAATGATCATATATGTTTGCATAAATAATTTCCTAACAAGTAAATATGCTTCTTTCTCTGCAAAAGGCTGTTGTTAGTTTTTGGGAGTTTCATGATCCTCATTTCCTCTGCTCTTCAGTGCAACCTCGGTTGGCTGATGCGTTGGTGGAGTCGTGGAGTCCCCCTCCATCGGGTTTTGTTAAGCGTAATTTTGATGCAGTTTTTTGTAGGTAGTCTTCGCAAGGGGGTGGCGCTGCTGTTTTTCGGGATGTTAGGGGTGCAGTGCTTCGTGCGGTTATTTTCCGTCCTTTCTTTACTGTTTCAGCTTTAGAGGCGGAAGCGTTGGTCTGTTAGCATGCGATTCTTTGCGCTATTGATTTACATTTATCTTCCGTATGGTTTGAATCGGATGCTAAAGTTGTGGTGGACGGGCTGTTATGTCAACTGTTATGCCTATCAAAAATTGCTTCTATTTGTTTTGATATTGCTCGTCACTTGCAACGGTTTTAAGCCGCTCGGTTGACTCATGTGCGTCGTCAGGGTAATTGGGTGGCTCATGCTTTGGCAACTCTTTCGCAATCTGAGTTTATGTCCAATACGTGATTGTCTTCTATTCTTTCGTTTGTCGTCCCTTTTGTGATGGCAAAAGGTGAGTCTTGGTAGGTTGTGGTTTTTTTGGTTTCTTGTATCATGATTGTTTTTACCTTTGAAAAAAAATAAAAATAAATAATATGCTTCTTTCTCTGCCGGTTCGTACACTAAAGGGTCTCGCATCTGCCGTCGAACACAGTTACTCTGACTTGTTACATTAAATAAATTGACTTTATCTCTGACTTGTGTTTTTCCTTTATTAAAAGAATTGTCATAATTACATTTTTCTTAAATCAATTTTCATCTTTTGTATCCCATCATCTTATATTTACACAGACATGTGTATATACGTACACGACAACAATGTAACATCGCACCAACACTCTCTCTCTCTCTCTCTCTCTCTCTCTCTCTCTCTCTCTCTTATACAAACTTTCTTTTTGGTTTTACCTTGTACTCCACAACATTTTCGGCTACCTCTATGGTTGATCAACCATATTTCATTCCACCACCTCCACCACTAGGCGACCCACCATTCCCTCATGCTATTGTTGTCGCCGGTATCCCTTTGCCAATATCAAATGATGACATTTGTTTATGATCCGATCAACAATCTTGAAAATGATTTAGAAGACCCCAACTCGCATTGTGTATTCTCGTCACAGAATGAGGTTGGGGGATTGACTTTCAAATGATGGTATAATACAAAAAACTCAAATGGTTTGAGTACAACAGCCATTGGTCTTACTTGCCCACAGAGAGTGTCTGAGTAGTGTTGAGGTGGTACTATTTAAAAATATATATATTTTTAATGTTTTTTTATGGAACACTCGAAACATAATTGACTGAAGAAGGGTTTTTAGTATATTTTAGTGAATTTTATTAAATTCCTGAAGACTATCTAGTATAAGTAATAATTCATTTATAAATCGTTGTCTTTATTTAAAAAAAGCTTAGTAATTATACTTTTTTTATTAAATCAATGAATATTAAAAGATTTAAGAATAAAATAATTGAATATTTATACATATTAGTAAATTGCACATGCGAAATTATTGAACATTTATGCTTGAAGTGCAAAAAACACTCCTGTGTTTTTTAAAGTGTGCAAATAACACTCCTAGTGTTCAAAAGTTACCCATGTAATTTCAAAATTGTGCAAATAAAGGTTTCTTGGCAGAGGGATAAGTACATGTACGAAAATGCCCTCCAATATTCTTTATACAATAATAATAAAAAAAAATTTGGTAAAAGTTAAATTATCCAAATAGACAATTCAAAACGACATCATTTTGGGCACTTTTTTCTTGCATACTTTTTTTTTACATCTAATTTAAATATAATATAAATCTGATAGGAGTATTGTAAATATATAATATAAAATACTATTATTACTAGTTTTTGAACTAGCTCTAGGAGTGCATTTTTAAAATTAAGTGCATACCACAGGAGCACAAGGATGAGTGTTATAGACATGTTGGTCTGTTGTCTAAATGGAAAGCCTGTACAAAAGAAATTTTGGTCACTAAGTTGTATTTTCACAATAAATGCAAGAGGGTTTTACTTAAAAATATGAATGAAAGTATCATTTTTCTATATGTATGTATGTATGTATGTATATATATATATATTTGAATTTTATAGATATGTATGAACCTTATGGGTTATGAAACTAAATTTACTTAATGTAAACAATTTAATTAATTGAAAGTCTTGATTTAAGCTAAACTATATTTACAAAAAATTAAATTCATGCCATCTTGATTTTTGACTAGTTGATTGGTTATATTCAAAATTTTTGTTTGGAGACCAAATTGGAGGAACCGGATCCTCTACGTTGGTACCTTCACTCTGCTTCTATCCGCTGGTGGATCCAGCCGCCATTATTCAGCCACGTCAACTAAAAAGAAGTAGAGTTACATCATTTAAAAGTTAGAGAAAAAAACGAAAAAGAAAAGAGGAACAATGCTAAGGCAAACGCTGCCTTAATGTTTTAGACCCAATTCTGTGTCCCCCCCACCCCCCAAACCTCCTGGTTCTCTCTCTTATTTCTCTCTCTAACCAAGCCAGAAGAGTTTCTTGGAGCCCACTATCTTTTATGAAATCTTGTCTTTTATCTAGTAATCGGATGATATATTACCATTACACATGTAACAATGAAATCTATTACTTATAACAATGAAATCTTGTAAAAGATGTCATTACATATGTAACAATGAAATCTATTACCTTTATATACTACCTTCGTCCCAAATTAAATGTCTTATTTGAAGAATCGTGACTCACAATTGAGTCACGGTTCCCCAAACATGACATTTTTTTTGAAATAGAGGAAGTTTTACCTTTACACATGTTCCCAAGTGGCCGTCAACTCAATAGTCATCTCTTGTAGCAACAGGGACACGTGATATAATACAAACTCTCTGTATATAGCTGATTTGTTTATGGTTCCCCTCAGTTACGTTTATGGTTCCCCTCAGTCATCTCTTGCAGCAGGAGGGACGCGTGATGCAGTACAAACTCTCTATATA